TCCCAGTGAAGTTGGCATGGTACTTATTTTTATCCTCTCAAAGAACCGAAAATCAAGAACCGGAATCGAAAAGCAGAACCGTAATCGTTGAAATCGATACCCAACCCACCTGTCAGTCAATTATTGCTCGATAATAATGTCAAACTAATGTGAAAAAGGTCCATTCAACGTTAGTTCTGTTTTTTTAAATATAAAACTGTGTGCAATATACAGTACATACAAGTGAAATATACCCTCCTGCAGGTTCACGTCTATTTATGTATTTCTCTGTTTATTTACAATTGGCATACAGTACCAGCTAACTCTTTAATTCATGGTCACTTTTCTTAAAAACAAATGCACCGCTGCTTTTTTTTCTTTTACCATGGTGTACATATCTGCTATTTTTTGTTTTTGTTTTTTACTTATAGTGTTATTAATAACGTGTGCATGCTTAGCCATTTAATTAGTTTCCCCTCACTTTATCTGTCTGCTGTTGTAATCATGTAAATGTCCCCGTTGCAGGACGGATAAAGGATTTCTGAGTCTCTGCCCATGTGTTTGTCCAAAGCTCTCACTGTTATTTATCCATTCGTTCACAGGCTTGTATCACTCAGAGTCCCTTCAAAGACACCGAGCTGGTGCTGCCTGCAGTGGTGTCGGCCATTAACCTCTTACTGCCCGGCCTCTTCAACCTGTGCACCTGGGTAGAGAATTACGACTCACCCAGCGTAAGCGTCTATGTCTCCATCTTCAGGTGAGAAGAAGAACTGTGGAAAAACAAATACACAATTAACAATAGGCCTACATATTGACAAGACATATTTTAAGAGATAATTCACATGCATTTGGAACCAAAGTAATGCTTGTAAAAACATAGGACAAGCAGGAAACAGTTTTGGTATTTACTGATAAATACATGTGTTACACAGTGCTCAAAACTGCTTTTTAGTATGTCTACTAAATGTTCTCTTCAATGTGTGTTTAAAAAAAAAAGTAAGTTAAAAAGAGTACTACATCATTTACTAGTCTTTTTCAATCTGGAGCTTTCAATTCAGCTTGAATCCTCCATCCGTTGGTTTTTACTGTGAGAATATTCATTTCAAGTTTTGTATTGCATTTCCTTTAATATACCACGCAAATGAATCACAACCAGACATGTTTTAAAATACATAGAAATGCACAAATTGTCTCTGTAGTTCGTCACAAAAAAGTTAAATTACAGCATGGACAATTATTTAAAAAAAACTTCTATCATACTTTTATTAAACTGCTGTACACTAAATATCCCACTGGAGTTTCAACATTACTTGTGTGTAATTTGTACATAGTGTGTGCATAAAAACTACTTAAAAGTGTCCAACATCCATGCAGTGGCCCAGCATCTAAGTCACACTTTAACTTGTAAGGCTTGTATTTCCCCTTTTGTCTTTAGTTTCTAGTTATTTGCATGGTTGTTGCCAAATAGAATTTTTTTTTTTCTTATATTTATTTGACAGGGACAGTGCACATTGATTGACATTTCTGTAAATGCGCCAGAGTTAGCCAACAGGCTATTTTTCATCTGTAGTCCCTGGACAGATGTTGAAAGTCATCCTAAAAACAAAAATTCACTTCAAATAACAGGTAAATACAATCAGTAAAACAACATTCAACAGAGATACTTATATTATGATAAAAGCATATATAAAAACATAAAAACGAAACTAAAATACATATTCACAAAGCAGACAGATAGAAACAGGTCAAGGCACATTCTGCTTATTGTTTTCTCAGGAACCTGATGTTGAAAGTCAGTATTATTGGAGTGCTATGTTTCCGCTGGCTGGGGAGAATAGCTGTGGAACCAGTAAACCATGGTTTACAGGTAACAAGCATCCTTATCATCCTTGTCATAATCATAGCTCTGGAGGGACACTGACTTATGCAAAGTTCTTCATTCTTAAAGTATTGGGAAACAAAAAGTGATTTCCTGTTTGTCCTTTTTATTTCTAATAATGTGACTCTTACATTAATATTTCTGTTGTCCTCAGTGTTGGGAGAACTGTGTGGGACAAGAACTGTATCGTTTGCTCCTCATGGACTTTGTCTTCACTGTGCTATACACTTTCTTGGGAGAGTTCCTGTGGAGGCAAGTTGGTACTTCACCTTCAATTCACCTTCAATTCACGTGACTTCATCCTGTTGTTTGCTTTACAACTTTTCACTGAATGCATCTTCTAGGCTCTTTTTCAAGCAAGTGCTGAAAAGGAACAGGAAGCCAGTGTTTGACATTGCCCGTAATGTGCTGGAACTCATATATGGACAAACCCTTACCTGGTAATGGACACAACAGTACACCACATCTTTTAAAACCCATGATATACTTAACCAAAAAAAGATTGATTAAAAATGAATGGTCTTTATTTCTCCCAGGCTTGGGGTGCTGTTTGCTCCACTGCTTCCTGCAGTCCAGATCCTAAAACTCTTTGTGCTATTTTACATGAAGAAGGTTCGTATAGCAGGTGTAATTTCATACAGTACATGTCGTACAGATATGGATTTGCATGTCAAACTTCACATTCTTCTTCTGGTTTCTTCCCCAGAGCAGTTTATTGCTTAATTGTCAGGCATCCAGACAGCCCTGGAGAGCCAGTCAGATGACAACACTGTTCGTTTCTCTTTTGTTCTTCCCCTCATATCTCGGCGCTGCTGTGTCCGTCACTTATACAATTTGGACGTGAGTGTAACACAATCTCCCCACTCTAATTGACTGTGATGCTCAAGCAGTTTGCCTCCTGAAAGGCATGTGTGAATTACCCAACCTCAAGGATGCATGTTTTTGAACAGGCTTTGAACATAATGATGGTAAAAATAAATACTTATCCAGCATTAGTTCAAACACAATCACAAAACATTGAGTTTGGTGGTGTCCGTTGCTCCTCTCCAAAAAAAATTGCCAGATAATATAGATCCAGATGTGTGGTGACTAAAATCCTTCATTCTGTTTAAAACAGTCAATAACAAAACGTTTTTTTTTTTTTTTTAAACTGGATAAAATGTGGATTTATGGTAAACATAAATAAACTAATTGTTACCTTAATATAAAACTACAGGTTTATCCAGGTTTTGAGAATTGTTGGAATCATCTGGTATAATTTCAGTAGACAAAAATATGTAAATTGTAGTCGACGGGACATTTTAATGTGCAAATGTTAAATATTACACCTTTTACATCCAATGTGCTTGAGTTTGAAACCTAAACAAAATGGATATGTGTTATTGTCCACATACTTGCAAACTGCACTGTATATTAAGAATCCATGTGTGATGCCAACAGGATTAAACCCTCGACAGAGTGTGGCCCTTTCAGGAATCTCACCACAATGTTTCACTCGGGCAAGCTGTGGGTCCAGCAGCTGGAGAGCTCCAACACGCTCCTGTTCTGGCTCAGCAAGGCCTACGACTTTCTGGTGGAGAACCCACTGTTCTTGTTCCTCGTCAATGGAGTCTTTCTGTAAGTGGTGACAAGATGATGTCAATATTTCATGTGTCATGCCCTCTCAAATCATTTTCAGCAAACTTGTCTGAATAATGATAATCTCCTCTGATGTCGATTTTTTTCAGAATAGTGATATACGTTCACAGTCAAGTTGTCGATGGCCAAAGGAGGATCGTCAGTCGGTTACAAAAGCAAATTGAAAATGTATGCATAATCAAACTAAAGTCAATGAGCTACAGTCGTGCTAGTGGCGCTAAGGTTACCATGGTAACACACAAACAATGACAATACTAACATGTTGATGTTTACCAGCATATTAAAATGCTAATAAGACAATTTACAACTGAAGCTGACGTGAATGTCAATAGATTACATTTCAATAAAGACCTGATTATGGTTCTAAATCTGGTATAAATCATCCGTTCTCCTTTGGGAATGTTTTTCTGCATGGTCCATGTTGTATTCAAGACTAAGAATTAAGTTAAATGAGCAAAGTCGGTACTATTCAGTGTCCAGGCACAATTAATGACTCTACTAAACTTCATGGAAATCCATCATACTGTAGTTTAGACATTATCATGAATGCCTTAAAATCAAAGTTACATGTAGAGTATTTTAATATTGTTCTGAATATATCTTCTGTATTTTCTTGTGTGCAGGAGGGTAAAGACAAAAAGTTCCTCATCACCAATTTGCAAGCCCTTTATGAACGGAGTAGTCTGGTTTCCCCTAACCGATAAGGAAGGTATTCGCAATACTGTATTTCCTCCTTGTGGTGTGTCATAACATGTTCTGGTTCGCACGCTTTTTTTGTTTTACTGACCTCACGTTCAAGCTGGAAAGGAAGTTGTGCGACCACTTTCTTACTTCTAAACAACATTCACACCATTCTGTATCACTTGAAATAAATGAACTCACTGGTGTTAACCAAACTCAAGTACAAGCAATGAGAACACAAGTAAAAGCCAAACCAGTAATATGTGTGCTATTTTCAAATATATTCCACAATGTTTGCAGTGGTTAATAGAAGAACATGAACTAACACCGGCTGTTAGCACTATATATGATATTTAGCATAATATATGTTAAAACATACTTTTATGTTAGATTCTGTTGAAGTTTATGCATAATGATTTTGAATATATTGTATGAAAAATAAATTAGTTTGAACACATCTTGATATGTTTTTTGACAACTTTGACATAATAGAAATTGTCCTTTTATTTTTAAAATATCTGATCATTCCAAATCACCATTTTTATTGTAGTATTTAACAGATTTTCTAAAACAAAACACACATTCAACATATTAAGTAAATATTTGCGGAGAATAAAACAATCGGAATAGTGATCTATGAACTTTACGCGACTAATGCTTTGGTAACAAAAAGTGATTTATCTCGTGTTTACCCTTTAAAGCATGTTAGAATGCAGTTTGCAAACCCTATGGACCCATTCTGGTGATGTCATTATCTTGTAACATATTATGGAGTTAAAATGTTTCCGCCAGCTGGCTGCTGAACAAGTTTGGTAACTTCTAGTGGGATTCACAAGAAAATAACCGGCAAGAGATTAACTTGCTGTGACTTAAAAGGACTCCAACTCCACAGCAGGGGACTTTGAGCTGTCTGACTAGGAGTAGGTTGCTGAACATCTCAGGAATTACTTCTGGTGGGTAAGGGTTCTATATGTTCATGTTCTAATTTCCTAAAATGTTCACATTTGTACTTTTTGAAATGCTTTTATTTCTAATTGTATTTACTTTGTGTTCTTTTTTTCCAGAATCTCACCTTCCCTCCAGATAAAAGGGACATGAAGACTCCAAAAAGAGTTTACATTAGCCTTCCAAAGAAACACATGGCGGCTTTGGCTCAAACATATCCACTGGTAAACATGTTTTCTGAAAACATATTGAACATTAATACATTTTAATTTTAATTTGCTGCAATATGCCATGAGGATAATGATTTCCTATTGTTTTACAGGACCACGGGGTGTTTGTAAAAGACCTGATTCCCTACTTAAATGAAGCATATGTACGAGCTTACTTTAGAGAATGGGGCACCATCACAGCGTGTGAGGTATGGACATATAAAACACAATTTGTGACATAGTTGATGTATATTCTTAACTATGTTTTAGATTTAGGACATTGTCACTTACTTTTACAACGACCCCTCACCTGTTTAATTTAATCCAAGGTTAAGAAGAACCCAAACTTGGAGGAAAAAAATTCAATGGCCTATGTGAGGTTTTCTACAGAGGATGAAGCAGACAGAGCAGAATGGGCTGGACCTCACTACATTGGAGGCGATGTCGAAGTCAAACGAGTTGTCAGTCCAAAGGTGAGTCTTTTGTCTCTGCTGGTCTCATGCCTGATGTTATTACGGGCATAAAGAAATCTTATATAAAGACGAGTTGATGAGCAATATTTGATTTATAAAGTGACGATTTGCTGACTGAGTCCTCATTGGCCAACTATAAAAATCTGTCTTTCAGATGGACGAGGATTCAGAGAAGAAGGCTGTTACGCTCCCTCGACCACGGCGATCAATGGGCTTGGGCTACATCCTGGAAGACGCTCAGTGGTTAGATAACAAGATGGAGTAAAACCTATACAATGCAACTTGTAGGACGAACGTTTTTCTATTGTTTAACTGTCTGTAGCCGTCTGTGCCTGAAGTTAGATACAAAAAGAAAATCATCACAAGGATAGCATATACTCAGCTAGATACAAACACATATTGCACATTTGATTTTTTTTTTATTTGTTCTGAGTTGCTCTGATAGCCTACATACTGCTTTGATTCTATGTTGTGTCTTATGATAACTATAGACCGTGGGTGATAATAGTTGTATTCAATTTTCTGTTTCATGTTTGTCAAGGGTGTATGCATTGTTCAAATATAGCTTGAATATGATCTCCCTGTGTAAAGAGACTGTCAATGAATGCATTATGATTAGTAATTAATAAATTATATTTCTCTGCAAAAGACAGTTAAAAGTTACGCTAATGGTTGATTAACATTGTTGCGCTTGAATAAATGTGTTTTACAGTTTCAGTTTTGTCTTTTTCTTGTATTACAGATAATATGAAATACTAATGACTATTGAAAACATATAACTTGTATAATAACTAATCTTTTATATATGTATTATAATGTAGAACCATTTATAAAATATATATATATACATGTATGAAAAGCTATCATACAATCCAAACTAAGCTTAAATTATTAAATACAAATATTACATTTCGTTTACGGTCTACGGAGGGCGGGGCAAATGACGTCAGAGATCAATGACCAATCCTTACGCAGAGCGCCAAGTTTCTCACAGCGGAGTAAACATGGCGGAGAAGAACGAAGACATTGGATTCAAAAAGGTAGAAGAATATGTTTAGACAACGGCTGTTTTCACCTGCTGAGGTTACATAATAACGAATATTGTTTTGAACTTGCCGCATCTGTTTGATTTAATTAAGCATTCAGGCTGACCCTGTGCACGGAGCTCATACATTGTTTCTTATTCTCAGACGATTAAACTTTAGTCCTTGCTAAAATAATATTCAGTTAGTTAAATGTATGCCGAATGGAAAAGCGGTTCAAAGTTATATAAAACTATCGTATCTGTTGTCAATATTCAGGGATGGCACTGTGTTAGGTGTATTATCCCATTAAAATGCCGTTTTTTTCAAAGGTAGTTTGGCATGAGGAAGAACGCAGCAGCAAGTTACACGATATCTTTTCTGTTTGTTTTTCAGAAAACCAAGTAGGACATTTAAAAAATGTATGCCTGGTTTGTGTTAATGACAGTGCGCACTTTACTTTAGTATTAATCTGATTTGTAAACATAGATGATCATAATTTAAAGAAATCAGAAATCCTTTATCAGTCCCACACATAGACTGTATTGGTCCAACTGTACAACGGGGAAATTCACACAAGGGGGTTTAAAGGGCTGTATGAACATCTTTAGGTTTAAGAAAACCTAAAGAAAAGGTATAAAGAAAGAATAATTAGACAATGTGAAGATGTCAGGTAACCTGTTTTGCTGATGGTCGATCGTTGTGTTGACTTTTGATTGTGATTTTGGTTTCACGTTACTGTAAGTCTTTGTAAGCAGCTGTGATCAAATAAGGGGCAGGTAAAATACAAATGTATTCTCCCTCCTCCTTTACATCAGGGGCTATAGAAACTGCCTAAAGTGTACATGTTTTATAATAATTGCCATGAGTGGAATAAACGAATAAACATTCCCGAAAGACAAGTATTTTGGCAATTTACTCCCTTCTCTTGTCCCAATGTTCTCTATTCTCCTCATTTACAGGACACAATAAGCAAACTCTTGTCAAGCTTCTTTAAGGAGGACAAAACCAGACGTGAGTTGGATATAATGTCTTGATATAACATATCCAAAAACTTTTATTATTGACTTGACAACTCAAAAACTCTCACTCTCTTACAGTGAGTGGGGATGCTGTGCTGCTCGTGGCAGAGATGCTCAAAGTATTTGTCCGAGGTAAGAAGTTTTGTTGGGTACATTTGTGCACAGGTTGTGTTATGATGACGCCTTGAATGTGGTATCTCTTTCCAGAGGCTGCTGTGAGATCACAGAAACAAGCTGCTTCTGAGGACTGTGACCAAGTGGACATCGAGCACTTTGAAAAGATCCTGCCTCAGCTGGTGAGTAGCTCGATCAAATTGGGGTTCAAGAGCTATACATTATAATCATAAACTTGTGCCGTGTAATGTTTTTGTTTATTAGACCAGCAGGGCATTTTATATAATTTTTCTTATTTGGACGTACTGAATTCTGAATCATTTCTGTGACAAACCTCGGTCTTTCAAATTATACGGTATGATTCAATCTAATTATAAGAATGAATATAGGCCCTACCTACATTTGTATTAGTGATGAATCATTTATTTAAATGTATTTGTCATTCCAAAATCCAACATAGAAACAGAAAGCAAAAAATCTCCGTATTTTAGAGGTTTGTAACATTTAGTTATTTTTGCCATAAAACATTCTTTATGCATTAAAATTATCAAAATGGTTGGTGATATTTGTTTGTCTATTGATCTGTCTTTACAGATTTAAAGAGAAGTTAAATAAATGTGCAAAACCAGCTCAAACTGCTAGTAGTTGATTGTAGCAGCTGATGGTCATATACAATATACTCAAAATTGGAAATTGGACATATAGCTTCAATGCACAGTTTAATCTCTGTCTCTTTTCCAACACAGCTGATGGACTTCTAGCACGGTGATGCCACAAGATGGAGCCAGAGTGTTGCCTGCTTGTTCCTGTTTAAATCCAACAACTTCAATTCTACATGTTTATTTTTCTTTGTACGACTGCAATTTCATAATTACTCAAATCTGAGATTACATCAAGATTTTCATTCTGTATGTATTTGAGTCGAGTGATTTTACATAGAAAGCAGCGTGTACTGTGCACACCCTTTCATGCCACCACCAATAAGACCCACCTGTGCTCCTCTGCAACAACAGGTGCTTCCAGCATGCTCCATAGTGCCCTTCATCAAAGCCTCCCGGAGCAGTTGGAAGCAATTAGAGTAATAAGGGGAGCAGCCAGTCCCTTAGATGATGACAAGTGCCAGGAAAAAAGGAGTACCCCCTCCGGCCACTTTGAAGTTCCCTTTTGCTGTCCTGCGATGTTTAGTTAGAGGTGGGGGGAAGGGCAAAGGGGACCTCTGGCACAGGGGGAAAGTTGAATGGGAGTGTGCGTGCACGAATGTGTGCGTGCTAGCTAAACATGGCCAGAGACCACACGCATAGATATTCTGTTTGAAAGGAAACATAACAAAACACATTGGAACATGGTCCAAGAGGAGCAGGGTGTAATTCTGAAGGTAAATAAACAAAGAGGCAAGTAGTAGAGGTGCTTTCTCTCCTTTCACCACAGCAGAGGGGGGAGTCAGGCCTACAAGGGAGAGGGTAATGTGGGCTTTTCTAACCCAAGGGCCTCAGATGGTTTTCCACCCGTGGTGTATTTGACCAACATGTCTTCACTATGAGTCAGCATAGCTGTACAACACCTCACACTATTTATTTGTGTGGCTCTTGAGTGAGTCACTACGCTTACAAACATGGCTCACATACAGCTGGAAGCAACTCCGGCTCAAGTCAAGAGTCCAGGCTCCGATAGGTGCTCAAGGACACTGCACCTGGAGTTTGACCCAGCACCTTTTTAGTAGGGCCCGGACTGGATTTGTGTTAGGAGAAACTTCCACAGCAGGCCTTCATGAAGGTGTGTTAGGCCGAGTTAAGTTTATTTTAATGATGCCATGAGCGCAAAAAAAACAGTAGAAAAATAATTTGTTGGGTTTATAACTACATTCATTCACAGCAGCAGGTACAGTTTGGCACAATATACAAATGCAGATCCACCGCTTTGACAACACGCTCACCCAGATGACTATTTATTAGGAAGTATGACACCAAATGATCTTACTGGAACAACTGCATTTCCACTTAACCACAGTAAGCAATACAAGTACAAGATGTGTCGCTATAAGCCTTTCTGGAGCATTTTAGAGATGAAATATAAATATCAATCCTTGTAGATTAAATAAAAACTGATTCTATTGGATCTACGGCTCGGAAAAACATCTATTTCATGTTGATTTCCTGATATGAGAATAAATATCCTCTTACATTTGGATATATTCATAAAGCATAGTAAATGGATGTCATTTTCAGATTTTTCCAGACAGTTATTTGCTTTTACCAAATTAGCCATTATATCCACATAACTAAAGACTATAACAAATGTAATTGTTTAAATATTTTGTGAAAGCACCAACAGTAAACCTTCCAATATGGTTGTAATATTAAAATTGAAGTATTTGATCAGAAATATGACATTGAATTTTCTCCATATTACCCAGGTGGATCCGTCATCTCTCTTATCCACAATACAGGTTGTTGGAACGTCTTAGTCTTGGTAAATGAAGGGCACTACTGTATAACTCTTCTCCTTATGCATCTTAGTGGAACAAATTACAACTGAAAGCAGTATTATTAAACATACGAAAGCAGTTAGGACAAGAATGGGGAGGGGCATTGAAGAGAGTAATGAGTTAAAGATTTTTCTTGATCATACATTAAAGGCAGGGAGTGTCGACAGCCAGTCCAGACGCTTTGGAGAAGCTCGAGTGAGAAGTGTTTCCCAGGAGAAGCACACTGATCTGTCTCCATCTGTCTTCTGGCTTTTCTTTGGACAGCACTGCGCATGGGACAATGAGGATATCGCTTGAAGACATCTGCCTTATTGTAGCCAATAATATCAATACTGATTTTATAGAAGCATCATTGACTGGCAGGATTGTTCTTGATGATAAACTAAAATGGGAATACTTGTCATATGTAGGTTTTTAATCCATGAAAAAAAAATGCAATTGGATGTAGTTGCAGTAATCAAGGTTAAGGGTGATGCTTGTCTGGGGTGGAGTTGTCTGCATCTGTTCTTGAGAGTCCTTTAAGTGATGGTTATGTCAGATTTCACTCCTTAATTCCCGACTCATTCGTCTGTGGTTCTTATTTTCTATTAGAGTGACACAGCTTCTCCCAAATATCTAACTTTCTGCCATGTAAAGGCTCCTATCTTTTCTGGCCCAAACTCAAGTCCTGTTTATGTTGAGTGATCATAATGGCTGTAAAAACATGCACATGAGCTACATTTAGGATCGAAGGCTTATGCTATAAAAGTCAGGGAAATAAAAACAAGATATTCTGTCACGCAAGCAAGAATAATTAAATGAAAGACAGGATATGACATGAAATCTCCAACTGACAAATACGATCATCAGGCGCCATTTGTGTAATTTATACCCCAAACATTTTAATTACATTTGTTTTTGAGTATTTCTATAATAAATATCTGATGGCATGCATCTGTTCTCAGAAGTTTGTGTGCATGTATGTGCTCGCATGCATGTTGTGCTTGATCTAGGGCTGTGATGCATTAGAGACAAGAGGCCCTTGTGGCCCCTGGAGCTTTCTAACCATGGAGGAATGCTGCAGGGGACACAGAGCGAGTGAATTTCTCTTAGATGCTCCTCACGCACACATGAAAAGTAACAAACATTTATGGCGCTGTCAGAAAAACACAAACAAAGCATGGTCGCGTTTGGTGTGCGTGATGTTTTTTTTTACAGAAAGCTTGCGTGAGTGGAGAGGATGCAAATACAGAGGCAGCATGTGGACTGTATACACTGCTGTGACATGAGGGTTTCCTGGAGGCCCCGGTCTCTCTGAGGGGCCTGAGGTCCTAAGGCTAAGCTTTGTTAAGGAGCCACGGGGCCCACACCGGGGATGATTAGAACATACCTGGCAGTTTGAGCCACTTGGGCGCTCTGCTAGGATCACTGCTAACTGGTTGTGGCGCTTGGCTGTTAGTCTGAGGCTGGAGATGGTCTGCTGCTGTGCTCCGTGTATCGGCCGGGCCTTTGGTAGCTGCAGGGGGCGGAAAGGATTCTTCCGGAACCAGTGAGGTGTATGATAAGGTCAGAGACCTTGGCATGCAGCTGAAGAGGGGGCGAGAGAGATGTACAATTAGGCCTGCAGCTGGGTTATTTCTGGAGCCCTGTCCTACTACCTTAACTACATTACCCTCCTCTTCCACCCCAAGTCTGTCTCTACCTCCCTCCTCCGTGTGGTGGCCATGGTCAGGGCATAGGCGATAACAACCGAGTAATCCCCTTACGTAACACTGCACAAATTTAACGAAACAAGACCATTCAATTAATTTCGGGAGCGTCTAAAAATAAAGAAGCCGTTTGTTCAAGGTGACGTCAAAAGGGGTGTGTGTGTGTGAGGGGAGGTGGACCTCAAATGAGCCGCCAAGACCCGACTGAACAGGAGGTCAGCGAAGCACTCTATTTTTAGGTCCCATTAAAAGCAGTGGTATAAAATTAGTCCTGCACTGACCCTCACAAGATCAGTCAGTCATGGTTAGAGAAGCTGTGAACATGGAGGTCACGCACTTAGAACGATGAAAGGGCCGATGTTTGGTGATATTTAAAAAGGAGCAAGTAATGACCAAAATCACTTTAGCTGTGGCAGGTGGCACAGTGTGAGGTTGGCTTTTGTTAGACTAGGTTTAAGACTTCATCAGCAGAGATTTGAAGCCCTTGGCAACTGGCTAATATTAACTGCAATAACACAAAACATATTGTTTGGACAAAATTGGTGAAAAGGGCAAACTACAACTACATTTTGATGTCAAATTTGAAGTATTGAGGAAAAGCTTGTTTTTCGCTTCTGCACAGCTTTGCATTTGATCGTCTCTTTCTGTGTTTGTTGTTGATTAACACAAATCTCAAGGTGCCAGAGTAAACACGAGTTAAGAGTATTGGGTGAAAACAAGTCTGTCTTCCAAGTGTTCTCCACAAGGCCGGCATGTTGACTGTCTGCCCTCACAGTGGTCGGGGGCACCGGAACTCTAAATTAGCCCTGGTGAGTCAACAGGACAACTTTCATGTAGACAAGGGCTCATGTCAGATTGAAGGAGAGGTCAGGATGTAGGGGTCAGAGGTCAGGATGCAGTGTTGGTCTTCGTCTTTAACAGCTTCCTGTCTGCTGTGTTGTGCAAATCTAAACGGTAATCCCTTGTGATACAGGTTCAAAGCAAAGGGATTGGCTCACACTCTGCTACAGGTATGGGACTCATCACTCCACTTGTACTAGGTCGGCTCACAACTTTGATCCAGACCAAAATATCTCTTCAACTAAGGGATGGATTGGCATGGAATTTTGTACAGACATGTATGGTCTAGTACATTTCTAACTACTGACGCTGATAGAATTGTCAATAGAAGTCCGAGAATTTAATCGATCCATTTTTGTGATTGTGATTGGCAAGTTGAAAAAATGAAGGGACTAAAGTTTCTCCAAATATGAACGTTTGTACCAGACATTTTAGCAATCCATCCAATACTTTTAGAGACATCTCACTCAGAACTTTAAATGTGAACCTTATGGTGGCCATGGGGGAAATCAGGGGTAGGATTAACCCCTTTAGGAAACATTAATATGTGTACAAAATGTACATAAGCAACCCATCTAGAATGTATCATCAATATCCAAATATGTCAATAAAATCCCAAAACATCAATCTTGTTCAAGCTAATGTAATGAATGTTTACATTGTAAACATTGTACCATGCTAAACATCAGGAGCAATCATTAAAATGTGCAATGCAAAAACCACCACATTCAGAGACAGTTTCATCCCACAGGCAATAAGACTGTTAAACACCTGAACTGTTGAAACAACATCCATAACATTCATCTGCTACTTAGTAATTATGTATCTATTTATCTAATATATCATTCTGCTTGCATATAGACTCTCATTGCACTATTTCACTTTTTTAAAACTATTTAAAAATTGTTTTACTTTTTAATATTTACTTGCACTTTATTTTTCTGTTTATCTGTATTATTGTGTTGCACTGTTGGAGAAGCCTGTGACCTAAGATTTTCATCGACATAACTACTCTGTAGCTATGTTCGTATGACAAATAAAGAACCTTGAACCTTGAAGCTAGTTCCAACACTACTGCTGTTAACTCGATCCAGTGGCTTTAATAACGTTATGCAGGAGGATAGCAAACATGATTGATCAGTTGATGTAGTTTTTTTGGTCCTCTACTCTAAAGAAATCAGCTTGAATTATGCAAGATCTTTAGCAGCAAACTCCACTAGTACGATTTATTTGACAGCGATTTACTTCAAACAAATCCTGAACCACAACCTTTGAGATTTCGAGGTCTGCCCTTTATAATTTATTTGATCTTTGACATGAATGTTTCATTTAAAAAAAAAGAAAAAGAGTTGCACCGATGCTGCTTCTCACTCTCAGACTTTGAAGGGGCACCTGTTTCTGCTGGAGGGAAGGTAAAACCTCAGGGTCAATAGGAGACACGGCAGGGTGCCTCGCTGCAAGGTGTCTCTTATTCTGTAAGAGCCAATTTGGGTTCTTTGTTTCTCTGGCATGAAAACAGGGCGACCAGCAGAGGTGATTTACCAGCTTGCCTTAACATAAAACTGGAAATAAACCAGAGCTGTTGGAAACCAATGGCCTGGAGGAGCAACACGGGGATAGAGTTAATGCAAAGCTTCACATCACACAGGAGAAGCTTGGATGATGTATGGTTACTGCTGTAGGGGACAGTTGGCTTTGGGACAATTTATAATAATCAAATACAGAAGAACAAGGTGCCGGCACAAGATGATCTCTGACCTTTCAAGACAAATACGTTATCCCTATAAAATCTCTCCCTTAAATGTTCTAATACTTGTTTCCAGACATAAAATGTAATCCCCTGTCCAAAAACAGCAAAGGAGCAGATCCACTCACAATGAGCCGTAATTTAAAAAACGCCTCTACTGGAAAAACAACAATAAATTTGAAGGGGGATTCAAAGGGACTGCCGGTGCTCTTACTTTTCTGTACATAAAACAAATCACCGCTATGTTCTTAAAGCACTCAATCGTTCAGCCTATAACACAAAGAGAATGAGAGACATGAAGCAGGCAAAGAAAAGAGAGACTCATTTGACTTATGACGTCTGACTATATGGCTAAACCGTTCCTCCATTTCATCTCCTAATATTGATCTTTAACTCTCACGTTATCTAAAGGTTTTCAGGTAGTCTTAATATGGTGACATTACTTTACAAAAGCAATGTTTTAACAGAGCTCCATGCTTCTCATCACGGTTTAAATCAATCACTTTAGGGTGTTAAATTACCCTGGGGGGAAGGATCCTAATTTGGGTTTAAAGCTAATCATCCGTTAAATATAAAAGCATCAGAATGACTCACAGGGTTGAAGCAGGACAGTCTACTGCGACCAGATATCCTGGGGGTGTTGTTTGATGTTGTATTGATACACTATCCTGGCTGAAAAGCTTCATCAGTGGGAGGGCAATATCCTGCATCCTGATTCGGTCAAAAGGCAAAGCCATGACATGTCTGAGCGCCCAGAGAGAAAAGGCCAGGTGTCCTCTAGTTCCTCTTCCATTTCCCCCCCACCCACTGATCCTGCTAACCAGGGAGCTATCACCCCTGGCACTGACACCACAATCGCTGAGCTGTGGAGCTGTGTGGGGGTGAGGACACTGATTTACAATTGGTACAGCAGAACACAGACTAAAATGTACAAAAGAAAAGTAATCATAAATAATCCACACAAAAAAAAGCTGCAGAGAAATAGGAGCAGTAGGATTGACAATTTGGCTGAAATATGTCTCTAAAGTGAGCTGCTGATTTTCTTTACTCTCTTTCCAAGAAAAATTCCATTCAACAGAGACAAGGTTCAGAGTAGTGGTGTCAAAGTTGTCAAATACAAAATTCCCTGAGCTGTGTGACGCACGTTTGTCAAAAACCCTAGCCATGCCACTACTTGTTGACTGATTTATTGTGTGTTTTTTAATTAAGTAATTCCTTATTTAGTCACCATAATGTCTAAATAGCACATTACATGAAAAGTATACAAATCAATCCTTTAAACAAAACTGCCATACTATAGAGCAAATATACAAGCACTCCCTATTAATTCATAAATTATCTAATATTTTGTTGCTAACTTTGCCTGTAAAAACTGCTTGTGAGGAACAGCCGGATAAAATAATAGTTCAGTTTTTAATACAGGTGTTTCAGGCCGAATATCAAATACATTTCCATCCCACTGAGGTCATGGGAAAAGTTTACACACAGGCTATTTTATGAATGGGTATCCCAGGGTGTTGAGCTGCTGACCCAGGTGGAGAAAGCACAGGAAGGACAGAACGTAACACGCACTTTGCTTTTGAGGTTAGGAAACTTTGTATATGCTGACGGCGGCCCTATCCCCTTCCTTTATCTTTCTTATTTGAAGAAATATTGTCACATGAGAAAAGGAAGGTCAGATACTCCGCAACAATGTAAAAACACCAGTCATCAGAGCATTTTTTCTTCTTCATTGTATCTCAGACGCTGGGAGGGGAAGTGGAGTTTGTACATCCACAGCTGAGTAAACTACTTAAGTCTATATTATATGGCTGTAGACATGATTTTTAAAATGCACAAACCTCAAAATGTGGTAATGATAGAGATAGACAAACAAACCCATGTTTGATTGCCAGACTTCCTTTGTTATTTCACTGTGTGTTTGAAGTCTTGAGAGAGTGAGTGAAATCCTAGCAAACTGTCTTCAGTTTCTGCACTTTCTCTGAATCAAAAGCTGATGATAAAATCTGCTGGACGGGATTCACAGAGGAGTTCGCTTTGACAAAACACTACGCGACTACCAAATACTGTAAAAGGCAGCCTGTGCCTTGTCTTTCCCTGAAATCTCTTATTGTCCTCTCAAACCAGCTGTGTTAAACCTGTGTGCAATAAAATAAGCTGTGGCTCTGTTTCCCGTGCTGCCTACAGTATACATATGGCCTAATCACTCTCTAGTGAAGCTAGTGCGGCAGATGTTACAGTTGCATCCATATTGATCGTTCACAGACTGTTTACACTGTCTTCATTCATCTGTGCTATGACCATTCCCAATTGGATCCATTTGCAACCTGAGTCTGGTGGTTTACACAGTGAAGCCTCTCCGGCATGTGGAGCCCATGCTCTTTACCCTCAGCTTGTGACTGCACACAAGCAAATAAATAACAATGAAGATGTATGTCCACAAGTAATCCAGAGAGCAGGCCTGGCCGGTACGTGATCTAAACAGACTCTGATCACTGTATATGTGGAGTGAGTTAAACAAGTGACACAGATTATTATCCTTTGATCCGTTAATTATAGTGGAAAACAACCTGGCTGCGATCAGTCTGTCGGCATTACCTGCATTTTCCACCTTGCAAACAACTAAAACTGTCCAAGACATACATGAGGAGGTCCATTCTAGGAGTTTTAATTTAAGTGTGTATAGATCACAAACAGATCTCCAACAGTTTCTGAAAACATCCTTTGATATTCTCTTTACCTTTTTTGGCAACTCACGCCAAAAGAGAAAAGGTTGTGAACACGACTTTGACATATTGTCATGGTTAACATTGAGTTTATATTGCACAATTGTATGCACAAATGTGTTTATTTAAACCTCCGGCAGTTTTAGAGCAGCATTGTCATTCATATGGAGTTATGTTTCAGACTACCAATCCATTACTAACTCTCTGCTAACTGCTGAGGCTAATATCTGAATTTTAAGCTGCTACATTGTTCACCAACTAGTTGCAAAATGTGCCTGTCTGCTGTTTGGTATTTTTACAGATGTTTCCATTGAAAACAGCTGCCAGCTCAGGCTGAAAAAGGTGGGATGTAGAGAGATGAGATTGAACCAAAACAGTAAAGTAGGCGGCAAAAGGAGCTGCAGATTCAGATGAATCTTTGGGTTTATTCTAAAAAAACATGTGTTTCTGTTGTTGTTCATGGATTTGTTTCACATTTTCTTGATACTCTATTATTGTAAAGATATTATACATCGGCTATAGGCTTTGACACTGTTAATTTTCACATGGTGGATTAAAGGTTACACAGGGCGACCGAGCTTAAGTGTGGGTTTCCTCTATTAGCCAAGAAAACTGTCAATGGCTGTTCAGCTGTAATTTTATCATGCAAAGCTTTTGGGCTCCACAAACGCATTAATACCTGCACCTTGGTGATGCCTTTAATTGCAATTTAGCATTAAGCTGGCTGAAGGATAAAGCCCGGGCTGAGGGGATGTTGTCAGGTTTAATGAGGCCCTCGCTGAAAGAGGGCTGCTGTGTCGGCACCACCAAAGGCTGCTTCATGAATTCACTTCCAGTGGACCAGAGTGGTCCTGCGGGGATTTGATGGGCTGAGGGAGCACAGACTGTCTCTCCCCCACTGTGGGGGGGGGGGGGGGTGAGGGGCTGCAGTGACATCAGCAGCCCATGGCTAGGCGGCCAGAAAGCACATAGTGGAAGACGTTTTAAACACACTGCCACAGAGCAAGGTGCCACTGAACAGTGTGATACCTAAAGGCCACGCAGCGATGATCAAAGTACAATTTCAGTAGGTGCATCAGCAACTAGTGGTTTTTGTTTATCACCCGACTTGAAAGAGTAAAATATGGGCCTTTTTGCTCCATTGGTCGACTTGCAGAATGAAAAACATACAGTGCCAACAAAGGCAAAACGGCCACAAATAGACATGTGAAGACAATGACATGTAGCACAAAAGGGAACAGAACCAAAGAAAGAAAAGCAATGACAACTGTGAACTCCTGGCCCATATTTAAGAGGGGTACATGGTTCACAGTTTCACATGGAGTCCTCCGCCTCCAACCCCATCCCAGTTACTTTGATTCTTTATTCATCCCCCCCCTACCCCCCTCCTTAACCCCCAACGCCCCATCCTTAAATCCAGCTGATGGAGGCTCTTTTGTCCACAAGCACCCAGGCAACAACATCAAAGGGCTGCTGGGTGTAAATGCAGAGTGCCTGAAAAACAAAACTGAAAAATAAAGAAGTCCTGGAGGGGATGGGAGATATTCACAACAGTACCCCGGAGAGGCAAAGGAAAAAGGGCTGCTATGTACAGGAGGAAATAAAGAAACAGGGAAGGATGGAGAAAGAAAAGGCTCAGAAAAGAAACAAAACACACCAACTTGCTTAGTAGCAGTCGTTTGTCAGACATTCATCATCATTTACTGAATACACAAAGGTGTGGGTTTGGTCTTTCTCTGTTTAATGACCATAATAAACAAATGGAAACAAATGAGATTACACATTGTATGGGACCATTATGACACTTTCTTTGTGCTGGATCATCAAAGCCCATTAGGGGACAGTGAAAGGGCTTCCATTGGCGTTCATGACCACTTCCTCATTCACTGACAGCTGAATTGGAGGCTTGATGGATTGTTGTCCAAGACAATGTAACACTTTTGGACTGAATGCTTTGCTTTGATCTCACTGGATGCCCTTGAAGCTTTAACAACGGCTGATATGTTAACAACCGGTCTGGATATTTTTGTTCTATCTTCCAACTACTGCCATGTCAGTCAGATCCATGAGGAAGGTGGGAAGGGAAGATAAAAGCCTTTTATCCTGGCCCCCATGTGGGACTCCTGTAGAGTCATGCTTAGAGTGTCAGTAGGCCTTGTCTCGTACCCACAAAGTACTCGCCAGTGACACGCTGACTCCAGAGCCTGGCACCAGGTCTCCAGCCAGCGCAGAGCAAAGCCTCTATTCCGCAGAATGAAGGAAACACAACTACATCGGGTCCACAGCTTATAATTAAAAGTCCTAAGCCTCAAAGAGCACAGCATCTCTATCTTAATGGTAGGCTTCCATCTGAGGCATTGGTTTAATACTTACTCTGCATCCCATCAGATAGTGATGTGGACAGAGGAGGAAGAGAGACATTAGGACTACAAAGAACACGTGTGTCCCATCCAGGATTAGAGGTTCACTCTTCCCTCAGTAGCCTAATTGCTGGATTGGCCAGATCAAAATCACTTCATTGAGATCAAGGCCACTGTCTTCCTCTTGTCTCACTACTCTGTTGCACAATAAGCCAACAAAAGCAGCGACAAACCAGGGAGGGGGGGAGGAGTCCAGAAGATGAATGTAGTTCATGTTTAGAGAGCATGTTGTGTGATTAAGGGAAGCCCACATCAAACATTGTGGCTTAGGAAAAACCACCAGTGGAAAAACAAGATGCTTCTTCTGTGCAGAGTGCCGCAGACTAGTGATGCTGTTGTTCAGAAGGCAGACCAGCCCAAACTAACCCGCCTGTCTGTCTCTGAGACAAACAGGGAAACTCGAGACATCATAGACTGCAGAGGAACTTGGAAGTCATTATGAGTAAGAGAGCGGGAAGAGCTATAGACCTCAAACAGGTTAGAAAGATGTAAACATGCATGGAATCTAAAGCATTAACTCTACAATCTCAGTTCCTGAATAATTTACACTCTTTAATTCCATAACCTTCATGGATGGTCCACTAGCACCCTCACCCCCAAACGTGGCGCACCTACAGTGTAAGTGCGTCACAGTTTCGCCGCTACTAGCATCCCCCCTTTGACTGACTTCCCGCGTCCCTGATTACCTTTAAACTTTTTTATCAAATGGGCACATAAAACAGAATGGAAAATAAACATATAAATGTAACCTACTTCTGCTGCTTTTACAAGAGGGACATGTTTTGATAACAAAATGCTACTAGAAAATACATTATCTTTTAAATAATATGCATATTTTTCTGTCATTTGTTGGCTTTCAATTTCTATGTATTTGGCTAAAACCCAGAGGCTTGCGTGGGCTATGTTTCAGTGGAGATAGGACAATTTGAGTTGTATCACTGTGAGTGAGGAAAAGTACACTGAAAAAAATGACTTTTTGGTTCAGTAAATAATACTTTGATTATATGTTTAAATTCTACAAGAAATTACTAATAATGTTCTTTTACTCAAAATCTCTCCTATTATTTAATGTGTTACTTGAGTCATTTTGTATCTTCATTTTGTTAAGTACATTTAAATCATAGCACCAAGTAAATGTTAACTAAAGTAATGGGTTGACCCAGAGCCCTAGAGAGATAAGAGTTACGACACTCCCATAGACCTCCGTTGTAAAAAATGGCGGCGCCTACTTCCGGGGTATGGACATCGAAATAGTTCAAAATATTGTCATTTGGGCGTTGGACCTCATTCACTTACATTACGGCGCGTCGATTAGTTCCAGAGGTAAGTTGCTGAAATATCGAACTCTTTTGAATTGTCAACTGTCTATATTGTATCAGAGGCCCTTTATGATGCTTATACTGGTCTTCATTTGTATATGCACAGCGTAATTATCTATATTTTATCTTGGTTGTTACAACCAATTTAGCTAGCATTGCCTGCTAGTTAGCTAGCGCGACTTCGTCAGCTTTGAAGGTAAGATTTCAGTAATGAATCGCTAGCAGCTTATATATCAATGATGCTGGGCAACTAACAAGCAGGATTTAGATTGATTATGTGTTTTTATTGTTATTTTGGTTTTTATCCGCTGAACCTGACCGTGTCAGCCATCCTTAGTCGGCTTTTTCTGTATGATATGACTTAACTGCTAGCACTAGTAGAAATGAGGTGGCGTTTGTGATGAATATTTCATTTAATATTTCATTGAATTTTGGGATATACTAACATTTAATTATGTGACATGTTGACTGTACTTTGTTTTTTTTGGTACTGTTCCGTGTTAACTCATCTGTACTGTACAACTAGCCTAGCGCTACTTTTTAATACTTGATGGCATGCTAGGATAGATTCCTTTGTATTGTAATATACACACTAGTTTAATGATTGTTCTTCAAAGGTATTATTCAGTCTTAAACAAATAATAGCCTACTGAATAGGCTACAGCAGTGAATGAAGGATGAGCCTTTTAGGCTCATCCTTCCTTCATTCCTTCATGCATCCAAAATGTTTATTTTTAACAAAATAAACACGTAAAAAAAAAAAATTAGCACTTTATTTTTTCACCCACAGTGACAGCACGCAGAGCATATTGGAACTCTACAGGTGTTGGGACAGAGTTCCTCAGACGAATGGACGAAAATGTGTTTTCCAGGCAGTCTTGAGTGAAGCGGCTTGTGAGAACAAATGTGTGCCCTTGTCTCAACAGGTCATGCTGGACCTCTAGGATTGTTGTTGTGGCCATCACCAGTCCTGTCTGGACTGGTTTCCAGCTGCCCTTGGGACCGATCTTCAGGCCCCGAAACAGATGGATGGAGTCCCGGAGGAAGCTGATGGCCTTATCATACTCCTCCATCTTGAAATGACGTAGGGCAGTAACAGTGTTGCGTGACGACATGAGGTCAAACTTTTTGGTGTCCAATGTTCAGTCACTGTATTGGTAAGCAACAATTTGTTTTGGCCAAAATGTGTTATTCACACTCCTGACTCCAGTTTGATGTGCTGCATTCTCCTCTGATGCGGCTTTCACACCAGCGCTTTTCCCTTTCTAGCTCCGAGCGGGAGCTTTTCTGGTTCAGCTCCGGTTTCCCTTTTCTGCTCCCGCTCTGTTCACACCGCCCAGCACCCGACTGGTGCTGCCGCTGCTGCGTCATGACGTCATCGTTTACATCGCTGATTTGCTCCCCAACGGCATTACGGCGCTCACAACAACAACAACGGGGAACTGCGTCGGGTCGATGATCGTGTTGCTTTTAATCACACGAAGCCAGATTAAATTGAATAACGACTTCTCCAACCTTATGCTTTGCTCCAGAGTGCCGTGGTTCATTGTTTATTAATGTGTTTCTGCAGCATTTACCGACCGCTGCAGTGTTGGCTGCTCTTCCACGGGAGTTTATTCTCCTCCGTTAGCTCCCGGTTAGCTCACACTGCAGCGGCCGCTCTAAAGTATTCACTGTCCAACTCACACAAGCAGCTGATATATATCCCCAGTTCCCCTGAATGTGTGTCAGTCTGAATTGACGCTGTTTGGCATCACAACGCTGTTATGAAAGTTTCTCTGGTATAAAATGGGTGATGTTAGCATAGCAACCGAAGCTAAACTGACTACTTGCTATTGCTATCCTATTGTGGCATAAACCGTTTTCTACAGGCACATTTTACCGGCCTATTTTTATTATGATTCTACTTGTGATAGTCGGACACGACAACCTGTGCAGCCCATGTATTGATTCCATCCGATAGCTGCTATAATACAAAACGTCTGCCTCTCTCCACAATGATCAATAACAGTGAACGGATGGTCAAAGTAAGGTACAAATAAACAGAATCACACGAAGCGTTGCCTGACTTTATAAAGTGTGTTTATAAGCACTACAGCTTGTAGGCAGGCATGACAGTCGACCCATGTTCAGGGGAGGAGGGTTTAGTTTCCTGCACGCCTCGACGTAAGAGAGACGTAAGCGACGCCACCTCTTAGCTCCGAAGCTCTTGCCTCTAGACCGACAATTTTTTGGAGCTGGAAGTGAATCCGATTCCGGAGCTAAGAGCCGGCGCCGCTGCGGTGTGAACAGGAAAAACCGGTGCTTTTCAGGCTCCAGCTTGTAGGAGTTTTGAGGTTTTTACAACCCCACTCGGCTCCGCGTGTCGTTTTGACGAGTCCTGCTTAAAATCATAACAGGAAGGAAATCAGACAGAGAATACCCAGATACCAGTTTAAACAATCTGTTTTAATTATCAAAGGTAATAATGCAATGCAATATAATACATTACAATACAATATAATACAATATACTACAATTATATTGTAATGTTTAAGAAGTAGCCGGCCCACTTCTGCCCTGTTCGCGTGCTGCGGAGATCCTTCTGTCCTGACAGCATGTGAAGAGAGAGCGAACGCCAGGAATCGACAGGAGATATACAATAATAAGAAGGAGGGGTTAGGTCAGCTGGTCATCTTTTCAGGTCATCTCATTGGGAGACGCAAAATATGCTTTGACACAGTGACCCAGCGCTGGCCAGCAGAAAACCAAACAGGCCCATTTTACAACAAAACACATCTTATCACCCAAGTCATGTGTTTCTTTATGAAAGCCATACTTGTTGGGAATATAACAGTCATTATCCCATGACATCCTCAGAACTAGCTCACCAACAACGCCTAACTGTCTTCATACCCCCCCAATCATCTCTGAACTTTTATTCACCCGAAGTAAGCTCACCCATAATCTAGAAGGACCATTGTCTCTCTTAACTGTGTGACTAAATTCTCAAGGCCTGCAGGATGCGCATAATTAACTTAAGAAGAATTTAGCCACTATATCTAATGGTTAACCAAGAAAAACACTCAAAAGGGTAATCTTTTCACTCAAAACAGAACTCACAAGTAATTCTGCATGTTACCCCTCAAAAATAGCCTAAAGCACCCTTTTGATGAAAAGGGTAAAAGTGAAAGAAAAAGACTATTGCGCTAATCTACTTTAAAGAAAAAGGGAACATTGTTTCAGGAATCTATAAAAAACCTCTCTATATTTAAGAGGAAAAATGTATTTTGTTCCTTCAACTATTAATACACAGGAATGTATATACCCACACATATATTTAGGGATAACATGATGCAATACACCTCTTATATATTGGTGAGATTAAAATGAATATACCAAAAATATGCTGCATCACATCTTCCGCATAATACTCTTCATAAACTTCCGCAAGCTCCAAGCCGGAGCTCAAAAAGCGCTGGTGTGAAAGGGGCATGAGTGGTCCTGATTTCAGGCAGAGGTCATGGCTTGGAAGGTTTTATATTCTGTAGTGTCTCAACAGAACCTAATATGAATTGCTTTATTGTCTCGTCGCTGGATCACCTCCCCCTGGCAAAGTGGCCTCGTTATTGTTGACAAACCTGTTTTTGTTGCTGGTTCAACAGGAGCTTCTGTAAATAGTTTTGTAAATAGTTTGAATATTTATCATAGTAATCATTTTTAGTCTCCCACTCTCTCAATTTAATTTATTGTTTCTTTGCCCCACCATATGTTTTGTTGTCCAAGGGCACTAATTTGGTCTGTGTTGAAGATTGTTTTACACTTTAGATTAATCAAAATTGTGTTTTTTGGCTGAATTAATCTTTTTCTGTTGAACCCTAACCCTCTTTGTTCTCCTTCTCATTCATTTTACTTTGTTTTGTTCTAACACACATCCCACATCACATCACTTTTTCCATACACTGTTCTTAATACTTGTTCACACATTTGTTCGTCCCTTTTACTTTGTTCTTCCTGTTGTTCTTGTTCAAACACATATATCAATTGTTCATCCACTGTTGTGGTAAAATGATATTCATAGTCTTAACATGATCATGCTACCCATGCTAACATGAACACAAGCGTTTCCCTCCAAAAATGTAAAACGTATCTAAGTAATAGGCTACCAAGCTTTCCGTTGTCACCCTGCCTCTCCAAATGCAAAACTGTCAATAAAAAGTATGCAATAATGCAATTACAGCTGAAAAAGTACTTGGGTGTGTGTGTTTTTTTAATATATATATTTACCATTCAATAACGCAATCGCTGCTTTCTGTCTGTCCCATAGAAGAACATGACAGCGCAGCGCAACTATACTACGGACGTGACTGTCCTGGCAGTGACAGCAACATAGCCTGCTTGTGCTACCACACTTTCCCCTCAAAATATCGTTAAATAACGAAACTTATAAATAGTGCCAATCCATACAAAGTGTAACCACATCATGTAAATATGAAAGCAATCTTTAAAAAATAACAGCGTTGGTTTAATCTATGACTATTTTGACCATGTTTGTGCTGTTTTTGCCACAGAGAAGCATTGCAACGGAAGTGCGTTTTGAACTATCCCGGCATACATAAACCACGTGACCGGCTGGCGGTGACATCAAAGAGTGTCGTAACTCTTATCTCTCTAGGGCTCTGGGTTGACCTACAACCTGTGAAAAGGAGTAAAATGTACAGGGCAATTTGAGTAAAGGTGGGCGACGCCCCAGATGACGTCAGAGGAGTTTGCGCACAGTACAGACATTTGAAAAAATCAGATGTTTCCAGTTGAAGAGAAGAACGCATGGACCCTCGTCCTAAATGAATACTCGTGGATTTTGAATCATGTAAGTATATTTATGTACTTTATTAACTCTGTACATCCCTGTTAGCTTGTCAGCTTAACGTGGATATCAAACGAATGTTAGCTAACGTCAGTCTTTCAGTTTAGCAATTTAGCTAGTTAGCATGCTAGCTAATTTAGCCTGCTTTCATGGACGAGGCACACACAACATGTAATACTTAGCGGTTTAGTAGTTGCTTCAAACTAGTTAGCAGCGGCAAAATTCACAGTTTAGAATGACATTTTTTCGCAATGGGGCATTAGTAGTTCAGAAGAGTTTTTTTTTTACTTGAGGGGGGGTTCGCGCTAATTTTCAAATGCTGCTCGGTAGTGAAGCAGTGTGGCGCCAGACGGAGTTTTCCTTTACTGTGGAAGTCAGTTCACTCACATACATCCGACTGTGTGTGATGCACATGTGTGCTTTTATTTCCTGTGTACACTGAGACAGATAGCGGCACCAGATAGCGGCACCAGATTCCTAAAAAATGTCACACATTCACTGCCATGGCCGCTGCTCTGTGGGCCAGTCTGATGCGGCCTGTTTCACTGCAGCCTAAAGAAGGCGAGGGGTGATCCAGGAAGAGTACCGGGACAAAAGTCACTTTATTAGAAGTGTAACCCCCTGATCCCACCGGAAGCGTCTGCGCTACGCTGCGCTGCGGCTGCGCCGCGCTGCGACCTCCTCCTGCGTCATAACCCACCAGGCGCGTTTCAAAACGTTGCGGAAGCGGAGCGTCGTGTGTGCAGCCTCGCAGTTGGATGAACGTTCCACTTCCTGGCTGCGCTGCGCCGCGTCAAAAATAGGATTCATCCTATATTTTAGAAATTCCTTGCGGCGAGGAGCTTCTGGGACGCTTCGAGCCGCGCCGCAGCGGGTCGCTAAAAACGCCGCAGATGCAGCGCAGACGCTCCTGGTGGGATTAGGGGGTAATCCCACCCCCTAATCCCACCAGGAGCGTCTGCGCTGTGTTGCGCTGTGTTGCGCTGCGGCGTTTTTAGCGATCGCGGCCACTCTAGTCAATGGGTGCTATTCCACCAGACCCGCTACGCCGCGCTGCGCCGCGGCTCGAAGCGTCCCAGAAGCTCCTCGCCGCAAGGAATTTCTAAAATATAGGATGAATCCTATTTTTGACACGGCGCAGCGCAGCGTAGGCAGGAAGTAGAATGTTCATCCAACAACTGCGAGGCTGCACACACGACGCTCCGCTTCCCAACGTGTCCATCTCCATCAAGGGATCGGCGGTGCTTGATGAGTGTAAATGTTTGGTGAACGCCTGCCTTCTGCTCACGGGCATCATCCATGCAATGAACTTAAGTAACACACCAAAGTTGAAATCCGCTTCTGTAGTTTTTCAAAAATCTTTCTTGAACTTAATTTCCTCAAGATCTCTCTTGAAAGCAGTGGTGGAATTTGAGGAACTTGTTCTTCACTTGAGAATTTTCTTTTCATTGCACTTTACAGTGCATGACATTAAGGATTTTGGGAGATGGCCCTGTGGGCCATCTAAGCTAATTTACAGAT